TCCTGCTTTCGGAAGTAACTTTTAGTGTAGGTACCGAGGTGATAGAGAAAAATCCTTCATTTTCCCATAACATAAACACTTAAAATTTTATTTCAACATAATATGATGCCATGACTATTATTTTTTAATAAAAATAATTTATTTACCCACTTTATTGAGGTATGATTGACAGGTAAAAAGCTGTACATCTTTAATGTATACAACTCAGTGAGCTCGGGGATGTGTATACATACATAAAACCATCATCACCCTCAAGGCCTTAGACATACCCATAATCTCCCAAAGTTCCTTCTCACCCTTTCTATTATTATTTGTGTGTGTGTGTGTGTGTGTGTGTGTGTGTGTGTGAAGAACACTTAACATAAGACCTACCTTTTCAGAAACTTGTAAGTATATTATTAACATAACATTAGCTACAGGCATTATGCTGTAGAATAGATCTTCAGAACTTATCTTGCATAAGTGAAACTTTGTACCCTTTAACTGTCACCTGGCCATATTTCTCTTTCCCCCAGCCCCTGGCAATCACTATTCCAGTCTCTGCTTCTATGAGTTTGACTATTTTAGATTCCTCATGTAAGTAAGATCATACAGTATTTTACTGTAGTTTTAAAAAAGTTTAGCTTATTTTTCTTAGTGTAATGTCCTCAGGGTCTAGCCATGTTGTTGCACATGGCTGAATCTCCTTCTTTTGTGAGGCTGAGTAACATTACATCTTACATATACCATATTTTCCATTATCCACTTATGTATTTGTCTGTTTTCACACTACTGATAAACACATACCTAAGGCTGGGAAGAAAAAGAAGTTTAATGGACTTACAATTCCACATGACCGGGGAGGCCTCACAATCACGGCGGAAGGCAAGGAGGAGCAAGTCATGTCTTACATGGATGGCAGCAGGCAAAGGAAGAGCTTGTGCAGGGCAAACTCTCATTTTTAAAAACCTCAGATCTCATGAGACTCATTCACTATCACAAGAATAGCATGGAAAAGAACTGCCCCCGTGATTCAATCACCTCCTACCAGGTTTCTCCCACAACATATGGGAATTGTGGGAGGTACAATTCAAGATGAAATATGGGCAGGGACACGGCCAAATCATATCGTTCTGGCCCTGGTCCCTCCCAAATCTCATGTTCTCAAATTTCAAAACCATTCATGCCTTCCCAACAGTCCCCCAAAATCCTAACTCATGTCAGCATTAACTCAAAAGTCTACAGTTCAGTGTCTCATCTGAGATAAGGCAAGTCCCTTCTGCCTATGAGCCCATAAAATTAAAAGCAAGTTAGTTACTTCCTAGATATAATGACAGTGCAGGCATTGGGTAAATACAGCCATTCCAAATGGGAGATATTGGCCACAAAAAGGGACTACAGGCCCCATGCAAGTCTGAAATCCAGCAGGGCAGTCAAATCTTAAAGCTCTAAAATGATCTCCTTTGACTTCATGTCTCACATCTAGGTCACACTAATGCAAGAGGTGGGATCCCATGGTCCTGGGCAGCTCCACCCCTGTTGCTTTGCAGGGTGCAGGCTTCCTCCCAGTTGCTTTGATGGCATGGCATTGAGTGTCTGCGGCTTTTCCAGGTGCACAGTGCAAGCTGTTGGTGGATCCACCATTCTGGAGTCTGGAGGACGGTGGCCCTCTCCTCACAGCTCCACTAGACGGTGCCCCAGTAGGGATTCTGTATGGGGGGCTCCAATCCCACATTTTCATTGCACACTGCCTAGCAGAGATTCTCCATGAGAGCCCCACCCCTGCAGGAAACTCCTGCCTGGATGTCCAAGGGTTTCTATAGATCCTCTGAAATCTAGGAGAAGGTTCCCAAACCTCAATTCTTCACTTCTGTGCGCCGGCAGGCTTGACACCATGTGGAAGCTGCCAAGGCTTGGGGCTTGCACTCTTGGAAGCCATAGCCTGAGCTGCACTTTGGTCTACTTTTCTCATAACTAGAGTAGCTGAGATGCAGGCACCAAGTCCCTAGACTGCACACAGCACAGGGACACTGGGCCTGGCCCACAAAACCTTTTTTTCTTCCTAAGGCTCCAGGCCTATGATGGGAGGGGCTGTCATGCCCTGGAGACATTTTTCCCATTGTTTTGGGGTTTAACATTCAGCTCCTCGTTACTTATGCGAATTTCTGCAGCCAGAAAAATAGCTTGAATTTCTCCTCAGAAAATAGGATTTTCTTTTCTACCACATTGTCAGGCTACAAATTTTCCAAACTTTTATGCTGTTTCCCTTTTAAAACTGAATGCTTTTAACAGCACCCAAGTCATGTCTTGAATGCTTTGCAGATTAGAAATGTCTCCCACCACATACCCTAAATCATCTCTCTCAAGTTCAAAGTTCCACAAATCTCTAGGGCCGGGGCAAAATGCCACCAGTCACTTTGCTAAAACATAACAAGAGTCACATTTGCTCCAGTTCCCAGCAAGTTCCTCATCTCCATCTGAGACCACCTCAGCCTGGACCTTATTGTTCATATCATTATCAGCATATTGGTCAAACCTCATTCAAGTCTCCGAGGAGTTCCAAACTGTCCCACATTTTCCTGTCTTCTTCTGAACCCTCCAAACTGTTCCACCCTCTGCCTGTTACCCAGTTCTAAAGTTGCTTCCACATTTTCGGGTATCTTCTCAGCAGTGCCCCACTGTGCTGGCACCAATTTACTGTATTAGTCTGTTTTCATGCTGCTGATAAAGACAAACCTGAGACTGGGAAAAAAAAAAAAAAAAGAGGTTTAATGGATTTACAGTTCCACATGACTGGGGAGGCCTCACAATCATGGCAGAAGGCAAGGAGGAGCAAATCATGTCTTACGTGGGTGGCAGTAGGCAAAGAGAGAGCTTATGCAGGGAAAACTCTCATTTTTAAAAACATCAGATCTCATGAGACTCATTCACTATCACAAGAATAGCATGGGAAAGACCCACCCCCGTGATTCAATCACCTCCCACCAGGTTTCTCCTACAACATATGGGAATTGTGGGAGGTACAATTCAAGATGTGATTTGGGCGAGGACACAGCCAAACCATATCAATTGATTTAACCGTGGCATTATTAAGTTGGTAAGACATACACAGAAGGCTCACAGCGTTCAAAAGGACAGCAGCCCCTGCGGCCTGCCTCTTGCGCACTCTGGCCTCCTCACTCACTTCCTCTTCCCTTGAAGCTGAGCTGTGCCTGCCAGGACTCTCTTCTCACTGTCCTCTGTACTCACTGGGCATTCAGCAAGGTTTTCCCTCTGGCTCAAAATCTTTTTCCTTTCCTATCTCTCTTATTATTTATATCTGTATCTGGAGCCTAGGAAAGATCAATAAAAAGATGTTTCAAGCTTTTAAATGTTTTTCTTATCAATGCATTTGTCCTGGGTGTAATATTTCAATTTACAAATGGTCTAGAAGTCTTTCTCCATTGAAATGATCTCAGGCATTGAACTAAAAGAATAAAATAGATGCTAATATGAAATAAAGGACAAAAGAGACATTACAGGAAGAAATATTTTATGGCCAATATAATAGTGTATCAAACCACTTTTAGAATAACTAAGCATTTCTGTGAAAAACATAAAAGGTTAAACAGCATATCTTATAGTGCAGAAAGAAATCCATTCAATTTTAATATTGTTCTTGCACTATCCAATGTTACTTAGAGGACAAAATAACTGAGGTTAATAGATTTTATTATGTCACTGACCTAAGTGGTTGATAAAAATATGAATTTAAAGGAATAAGATGGATATTTCAAGCTTGTAACGACATGTCATCAATCTCTGAAATGATTTTGGTTCCAGTTTGTCCTAATATGGTGGCAGTTGTATTTTTTTTAAGTTGCAATTCTGCATATTTTTCCATTAAGCAAGCAACTTTGAATTTCTCCATTACTTTAACCTCACAGTCATCATCACAAACAATAAATCCTTTTTCAGCACTGACCCCTTTAGAATCATCTGTTACAGATGAGGCTCGCCAGACTCTGGAGGTAGGCAGAGGGGTTTGATTCTGACGTATAACTCGTAGTCTGACTTCCACTCACTGGTTTCACTTCTCATTTAAATACTTGCTCATTCAAAACTTTCAGTAATCAGTGCTTGGGGCCAACACTAACTTTTTCGTCATATTGCATTTGATTCTTTCATACTTTGTTATGTCATTCTATTTACACTTTTACTTTCGCCTGTTTTCTCATTGAAAATGATGCCAACTGACTAAGTAAACAAGATGTCGAAAAAGAAGCATTTACTATCTTCAAATCTCATACAATATAAAATTACTGATCTCAACAAACATCTCATTGGGGACTTTTAATTTAACAGAAACAATAACAGCTACAACAAACTAGTAAAAAGCAGGAATTTCTTTCAGGAACATTGAGATTCTCACAAGTTGAGGAGGCTATCTGTATTGTCAACCAACTCTTGACGATTTTTGCCATTCAACTGAGTTGAGATAGATTGCAGAGAATCTTTGGTCCAGCATTGTAAAAGTGCCCTTTCCATTGCCAGATAAGCCTGCCTCCCAGATGTTCCCCTTCTCCTGTGTTACCTCTTCAGGGAGATCTCTTTTTCTTGGCCAACAAAAATCTACAGCAGTGCAACAGCTCACTCCATTCCCTTACATTAATTTATTCTTTATCATATCATTGTTACATATCTATTACATGTTCATTTGTAGATTACCAACTTCACTAGACTATTAAACAGTTACTTTATTTTAACTGTTATTACTAAAGTTATTTTATTTAAAAGCTGTGTACAATGTGACTAAACCTTATGAATATCTAATCTACCACCATTCTTAAAGTTCCCATGCACATTCGTACAGGTATATACTGTTTAGTCCATCAAATACATTTGCACAAGGAGCCAGTTATAAAAAACTAATAAAACCTAGTTAAGCCAAGTAGTCAGTTAAAAAAAATTACACTTTATCTAACTTCAGTGTTCTATGTATTTCAATGCAAATAAATTTGTTTTTTCCCCCTCTCTTTTAGTGTCAAAAAGGTGAAGCCACGAGATGAGCAGGATGCAAGTAAGTGATTAAAGCGGGAAGCAGTCAGTTTAGATTAACACAAAATGACTCTGACAGATTTTCTTACCCTTTGTCTTTAGCATGTAGATCTATAATAGACTTGTTATATAGAATGCCTAAAGTTGGTCTGTAGATGCCACTGAGAAAGACACTTGAAAAAAAAATCTTACTAATCCACATAACAAGAATAACCTTTTATTCACATTTTAAAGCATGCACATTTTCTTTCAGCAAAAGTATCAGTTATGGTGGAAATGCTAATTCACTTGTTTAAAGTTACCGTTTGCTTCTTTAACCAAACTCCAGTGAGCACTTGTTGAATGCCATTTATTCTGCCACCTTCAGAAACATCAAAGGTCACCCCAAAGGCAATGGATGCCTCAAGGATTGAACAGGCCAGTAAGCGAGGAGAGATTATTGTTTTGTTTATTCACACATTTATGCATTTATATATACCTCATCTTGCACCAAATATGACTTAGGTAATCTATAAAACCCCGTATACTATACAATAATAGAAGCTAGAAGTAGGTAAGAAAGTTATGGGGAAGGATAATCAAGAACAGGGCAATAAAATACAGCTAGATATAGGTTATTGCATAAAATGCAGGCTATGGAACTGTATATACATGCTGAGGGATATACTATATATGAACTGATGTAATTCAGTGTGTGATTAAATGTAACACTAGAGGCATGCACATGGTACAATTTTAACAGATAAGAGAGTAAATAACTAAATATTTCTCAAAACTTTTAGTGTTAGAGAGAGAGTGATATTTTTTCTTGAATTTCTGAGTAAGAAAGTATTCACCCTGTTCAGACAGGGTGAATGGAGGATTCCAGTACTCGAGGCAAAGAGAAAAGCATGTGACATGTGCAAGATTATGCATAATTATATAGCATGGATGTTTGCAAAATTAAAAAGATAAACATGTGATGGAAGAAGCAAGTGATAGGGGTAAAATGGGAGCTGGCCTTTGGCCACCTGTGCTGCATTCACCTGATGCTAGAAAAGTCGATGATGCGCATCAGTGAGTACATCTTTGTATGTTGTGTTTTGGGGAAGGAATGTGAATTATTCCACTTTCAATTAAGCCACCAGGTTTACTGTTGACTGTAGAGGTGAGCTGATGGCCCAACTCACCCATGGAGAATCTGAAGCCATTCCCTGAGCACAGCTGCATTCAATTATTACCTCTGTATCCCAAAGTGATCCTCCAAATCTTTTAGAGCTGAAATGATGGGGAGAAGGGTCATAGGGGAATTTGAAGAATCCTAATTCTCTCATGATTGCCTATAAGATTTTTTCCAGTAGTGTTATTTCAAAATATGTTGTTGTGTTAGATAATCCTGTCACCATAACTTTTTGTGTGTGAAGAAAGAATGTCTTACTTCAAAGGAGAGAAGTTAATAATTTTAAGTGACAGAGATTTGATACAACACAATGTCTTTATTATTTTTTTGTCTGCATTTCATATCCTTTCTTTTTTTCAACCAAATCTCTATCCTCATTGAATCTTTTCCCCATACAAGCACTAATACAAAAATAAGCCAAGTATTTTCCAAGACTTCGACTGAGTCCAGATTTATGTTTTTATAGGTGGAAAAACAGAGCAACCCTCTAAGCACTTCTCTGGTTGTATCACGAGCCCATTCACATGGCTTACTTTTGCTCCTGGGGTAGGTTCTAACTGATTAGGTAGCCTTTGCTATCTGGGACATGGACAAATCATTTTCTTATGTTATTCAACTTTATACTCACCAGGTTCATGACAACTTTTTCTTACAGACGTAATCATTTCTCTCTAGTTTTCCCTCTGCCATACCTCCGAAAAGCACACACCCCTCTCTAAGTAAGGAAATCTGGAGTATTGTTTGAGGCCTGGTTCCAATGAATCTTCAAGATATTATTCTAATTGTCCTCAGTTGAATCAAACTCTCATTCTTTTGACTCCAATAGAAATTTCTCTCTATCATCTTATATGTGGTCTTTCTTTTAGAGTAGGTGGAGATTTTTATAGGTAGAAAAATGATTTGTGGCCAGGTACGGTGGCTCACGCCTGTAATCCCAGCACTTTGGGAGGCCGAGGCAGGTGGATCACCTGAGGTCAGGAGTTCAAGATCAGTGTGGCCAACATGGAGAAACCTCATCTCCACTAAAAAAAAAAAAAATACAAAAATTAGCCGAACATGGTGACATACACCTGTAATCCCAGCTACTTGGGAGGCTGAGGCAGGAGAATTGCTTGAACCCAGGAGATGGAGGTTACAGTGAGCTGAGATCATGCCATTGCACTCCAGCCTGGGTGACAGAGTGAGACTCTGTCTCAAGAAAAAAAAAAAAAAAAAAAATCACCCCCTCCCCAAACTTCCTCTCCAGTGCTTGGCCAAGTACCCTGTATATAATAATGTGTTTGTCATTAAAGTAAAAAAGGATACTAATCCATAAAATAAAAGCAAATAGCGTCTTTGAAAACAGCTGCTTTGATGACAAGTAACATGGAAGATTCACACTGCATTGCACCAGGGAGATCATTAGGAAGATACTGAAGATCTAGCTAAATGAAAATTCAAACAAATTAACCACCTACATGGGGCTGTAATGGATTTCGTTTCCTGCTGCTGGCCACATGGAAGGAAAATGCCTCACACATAAAGCAGGCAGCTTGTTGAAATGTTGAAAAAACTGTCATAAGGACCTGGGCTGAGGCCACATAAGGAATCGAGATCAATTATATTCTCCATAGTTGATGACATCATTTGTCTTGTTGTTCACGAAAGCAAAAACAAATTTAATAATTCTGTTAGTAGTCTGTATATTACTTTTTGTAAGCTACAGAACATTTCAACATCCATTATTTCCTTTGTTTATATCAACGAATAGCTGAATAAGAAGAGGCTGGGTTATTTGTTCCAATTATAGGTGGGGAGGCAAAGCCTTAGTTTAGAAAAGTAAGTTCCTGAATGTCACAAACTTACTGAGTTACAAAACCAAGTCTGGAATGTAGAACATTAACTTCTAGGAGAGTGTTTCTTATTTTTAACGTAAGAACTTAATCTCTGATTTTGAAAAAAAACAAAACAAAACAAACAAAAGTACCACTGGGGATGAGTTCTAGAAGATTAGAAACCTCTTGCGTTCTAATACAGAGTGTTTGTTTGTTTGCCTGACTTGGAATATATTGTGGTACCCTGTTGCACCAATTTAGGTAGGCTAAAAGTGTGTTTTTCAGAATGCCTTCCACGCATAATTCCTAGTTAATGTAGCTCATCTGAAACTTTATTTGACTTATCTGACTTCCAGGGAGGCACATTTTTAGCTCTTTGTTGAAAGGCATCAGCATGTCTTGCAGAACACTTGCAGCATCAAAGTTGGAGGCTTAGAGGTGGTAAAGACTGATGGGGGTTCCTCTCTGTCCTCAGGGGTTCCACCGTGTGGTTGTGAGTTCCAGTCTGTCTTAGCTCTTACCAACTTCATACCCATCTTCCCTTTTATACTTACTGGTCTGTGGAATTCAGGCTGTATATAACAGCTTCACAGAGACTAAACAAACAGCTCACACAATGGCATTAGGTCAAACATCTATACTAAATACCCTGTTTGATATATATGTAAATATAAATACATATGTATGCATTTAATATAATACATATAGAAAATACAATACAAAATCATAGGGAAAATGTTTCTGTAATAATCTAGGGAGATCCCGTGGAATGCCTCCCACGACTCACATATCCCAATATTAAAATCAATTAAAAAAATTACAATGGCCTGAAGTAAGCAGACCTGATAATGGTCCAGATCCTTCAAGAATGATGATGTGGGACATTCTATACAACAAGAAACCATAACCAGCTGAGGTATTTGCTGAGGGTAAAGGGGTTATAGAATGGGCGGTGGAAAAAGTAGTAATAAATCCTAATTAAGTTGACACAACCAGTTGTAGAAATGAATACTGCATTGGTCATGCAAAACCTTCCTTACTTTGATATGAATAGATTTGTGTATATAGTAGCATTTTTTTATCATTACTTCTCCCAGTTCCTTACTGTCTACAATACAGTGTATTAATAGCAGTCAATTTCATATTTTAGTACTTACATTTCAGCATATCAAAAGGGGAATGTGACTCAACTAGAAGATAAATGAACATCAGTTTGAAATAGATGAAGAAAATTCATATAGTCTTTTGGGGAGAGGGCTAGCAAGTTTTTGGTTTTGTGAGGGATAATTGCCTTATGTTAGGTGAAGGTATGGGTTTGCTACTGTCTTTATTCAGAAATTCAGTATGGCTCAAAGAGGTGTAATTGGAAGCCAGCTACAAAAGGGGTGGACTGTGATGGGTTTGTATTCTCTCAATAGCAAATCTGGGGCTACATTTCTAAGAAACCCCTTCACTGAAGAGTTCCAAGTTACTGGAAGAAACTTGGAACAAAAGGAGTTTGGCATGAACTTTGAAATGTCTGCTGAGTCAAAAGGCAGTCAGATATGTAAGATGGGTATACAGTGGTGAGAGTGAGGACAAACCCATAATCAATGTCTGGATCCCTGATGAACTGAGACTCACATTGATCTTTCAATATGTTCAAGTCTCCAACTTGAATGACTTGGTTGTCCTGCAGGAAATGCTGGAGTCCTTCATCAGAGTTGTAAATGGCACTTGTGACAAAAATCAAAGTAACTAAAAAAGAATCTGGTTGGAACCTCAGTAACAACTGGCCTGTCTACTACCTCACACTAACAAGGTAAGTCAGCTACCAGTGACAATGTGAGCATGTTGCAACAGTGCGTAGGACCCCTGTCTAACCCCCCGCCCCACTGCATGTAACAAGCATATTATTGTTGCTTCATTTCCCTTTCTGAGCTCAGCCTCAGTACCAGACACAAGGACAGCAGCCTTACATGTATTTTTAATCAGCTCCCACAGTTGTATACCATCAAATACTTATAGTCAATCAAAGAGGGAGTGTTGGTGTGTGACTCCTAGTGCTGCAGTTTCTTCTCTTAATACTCATTGATTCATAATTCAAAAACCATTAGACTCCTTATGAGCAGAATTTGATGCCCTAATGAGAAACAAACTTTGCTTTCAAGCTGTACTACTAATGATGATCATAACAATAGCTAAAATTTACTGTGCTCTTACCATGTGACAGAAACTGTTCTAAATGTTCTATATTAACTCTTAAAAAAATACCCTTGGAGGTAGGTACTATTACTATCGTCATTTTTATTTTACAAGTCAGGCAACTAATGTGCATGGGATTTAAGTCACCTCTCCAAGGTCACATAGTTGATGTGGGGAGTCCGCATCAATTACCAGCTGTGATTTAAAGCCAGGGGGTCTGGCACCTTGAGAGCATATTCTAACCATCGTGTTTTTCCACTCCCAGACCAACTCTCTAAATGACGTTCATCCTGAACAATCTGATCTCAGATTTACTCCCGTGTCAGCTAGTCCTCTGGAGGAAGTAGAAATAAGATAATGGGAATATCCGTGTAGTTATCTGTGGCTTAGGAATTGTAAACTGGTAAATTGATGTTAAAAGGAAAGGAAAAGAATTAAAAGAAGAGAAAATGGGAATAATTTTTGCCCCTTGAACATGCAGCCATCAGAGAACGAATAAGTCAGTTTGATAAGTCTCAGTGAAAGTCAAAAACATTTTCTGCAGTGTGCAAAATATTGTTTCAAGCAACACCTTGGCTTACTGTGCTAGACATCTGGCAAAGAGGATGTGTTCTAACTTTTCTTTGTCCTTCATATTGTCAGGAATTTAGAATCATAACTTTTTATTCCATATTTAGTACATTAAAATAACCACATTCTATATTTAAATATATCAAATTGTTCTCTGTTTAATGATATAATTTAATTTAAGAGAACCATAATAACTTAATTTTAAGTTCTGTGATCAAATTAACAAGATTCCTTTTACCTAATGTCTTTGATTTTATTAAGGTAAAAGTTATGTAACAAAAAATTAATCGTTTTAAAGTTAACAGTTCAGTGGCATTTAGCACACTGACAATATTGTCCAACAACCACCTCTACCTAGCTCTAATATGTTTTTGTTACCCCAGAAGGAAATTAAACAGAGTAACTGCTTATCATCTTTGAATTTTAAAGAATATTGTATAATTTTGAGATAAGGTCTCACTCTGTTGCCCAGGCTGGAGTGCAGTGGCATGACCATGGCTTACTGCAGCCTCAATCTTCTGGGCTCAGCCTCCCAAGCAGCCGGGACTATGGGCGTGCACTACTATGCCTGGCTATTTTTTTTTTTCTTGTAGAGATGTGGTTTCACAATGTTGCCCAGGCTGGTCTCAAACTCCTGTGCTCAAATGATCCTCCTGCCTCAGCCTCCCAAAGTGCTAGGATTTGTAGGCATGAGTCAATATGCCTGACCTAAAATAATTTTCATGTGGAAAATTCTACTTGTCTTTTAAAGTCTACCAAAAATCTCCCATTCTGCATTCTTTTTTTTTGTCTTTAACTTACTGATACTAGTATAGTTATATTCTGCTCATCACAGACATTGTTTTCACTTTGTTGTGTATGTATCTATATAATTTATATATATGTTATGGATAACTATGAGTAAATGTATGTATTAACATTTTATATATTTTAATTGTACTTTAATGTTTACATATTCATATTTTAGTATTTCATATACGTAATTTTAAGATAGTCAATTCTAATTCTATTTTTCTTTAAGTTTTATACTTTCCAATTCCTGTTTTTAAATTTATTTTTGTATACTAAGGTAATACAAAATATTTTCCTTTAAAATTTTAAGGCTTTATTTTTCAAGATTTTACTTTGAAATTTATGTTGTATACAGTGTAAAATAGCAAATATTTGTTTTTTCTTAGGGGGAGTCAGTTGATTCAGAATCAGTATTTGATTAGAAAACTATTTTCTTTCTGACTGGTTTTTCTGCCTCTTTCATTTATCAATTGCTATGTACATGTTGTTTTAGAAAGATCCATAAATTATCTACTTCATCCCCTTTATTTTACAGTGGGAGCTAATAAAACCCAGGCCAGAGCACACAATGTGGAAAAGAAAACTTTATTCTTGTCAATGGATGGAGGGTGGGTAAGTGCCTGGGTAACAGCCTGTTTTTTCCTATCTGCTCCTATTGTGGCAGGCAAGAGAGCTTGTGCAGGGGATCTCCCATTGATACAACCATCAGATCTTGTGAGACTTATTCACTATCAGGAGAACATTATGGGGAAAACTGCCCCCATGATTCAATTATCTCCACCTGGCCCTGCCCTTGACATGTGGGGATTATTACAATTCAAGTTGAGATTTGGGTGGGACACAGCCAAACCATATCACTTGGATTTGCATCTTAGGTGGTTTGGCTCTAGTCCTACTGTCTTTAATCACTATGGTATAGAGCTACTCTATCAATTTAAAAACAAATGTTATTACTAAAACTGATATGTTAATTGTGTTTCATTTAAAGGTAGGAATAGATAAAAATTTCTTAATATTCTTAATACCAGAGCTTCTATTAACATTATATCATCTTCTTAACGAGTCTGGAAGTAAAAGATAAAGAAGGATTAGTGGAATGGTTAAACAAATAACAGCATAGAACCATACCCCTCAGTTTCAAACATGACATTTTTCATTTCTGACTGGGTGAATTTGAGCCAGTTGATGGACTTTTCCAGATCTAAGTCAATGAAATGTCATATTATTATTCTTAACTTTTAGGGTTTCATGAAAATTGAATGATGCTTCTGCTCACTAAACAGGATATAATTTAAGTAAAAGATAAAAATTTAATAATAATATATGTAACCAGGAATAAACCCAAACAGACACTCATACCAAATACCAAGAAGATGGGTTTTATATCCTGGAACATTCTTTAGAATGAACATTTTTTGACATGTTACTTGACTATTTAATTATCTTTCTCTGTGATGTGATTATTCCTATCCTTAACTAAAACATCTTTAAGATTTAAAAACAATCTCAAATAAAATGGGTAAGGTTCATATCAGAGGATAAATAAATGGTGCTGTGGTTTGAATGTGTCCCCCAAAGTTTATGTGCTAGAAGCTTGATCCCCAATGTAGCACTGTTGGGAGATGGGACATTTAAGCAGTGATAAGGCTATGAAGGCTCTTGTGTATGAGTCTGTTTTCACACTGTTATAAAGAAATACCCAAAACTGGGTAATTTATAAAGAAAAGAGGTTTAATTGACTCACAGCTCCACATGGCTGGATGGGGAGGCCTCAGGAAACTTACAATCATGGTGCAAGGGGAAGCAGGAATATTGTTAGGAAAGAGAGAAGAGTATATATAAGAGGAACTGTCAAACACTTATAAAGCCATCAAATGTTATGAGAACTCACTCACTATCATGAGAACAGCATGGGGGAAACTGCCCCCATGATCCAATCACCTCCCACTGGGTCTCTCCCTTCACATAAGGGGATTATGGGGATTACAATTCAAGATGAGATTTGGGTGGGGACACAGCCAAACCCTATCAGCTCTGCCCTTGTGAATGGATTATCATTATCATGAGAATGGGCTAGTTATCTTGGTATTGGGTTTTTCATAAAAAGACAGATTCGGCACCCTTTTGTCTCTCTCTGTCTTTCACTCTTGCCCTTTCTTTGCTCTTTTGCCATGGGATGGTGCAGCAAGAAGACCCTCACCAGATTCCAGCCCCTTGATCTTTGACTTTTCAGCCTCCAAAAACATAAGCCAGTAAATTTCTGTTTGTTTGTTATAAATTACCCAGTCTGTGGTGTTCTGTCATAGCAGCACAAAATGGAGATAAATGGTCAGGTAACACTGAAAGATGCTCATGCCTCCTAGGAAATAGGATCATTTATATTTTATAAAATAATACATCACCAATATGATACAAAAATTAAACCCCTGGCAATAATATGTATAGTTATGAATGAAACCACTAATGATTGCTCTTTGATGGAGCAGATAATGGTAAATACAATTAGATCAATTTGATGATATCTAGTAAAATTAAAGATGTGAAAATAATTTTCAGAGAAACATGCATGTGATTAAAAAGACATAGGCTGGGCGCAGTGGCTCATGCTTGTAATCCTAGCACTTTGGGAGGCTGAGGTGTGTGGATCACGAGGTCAGGAGTTCGAGACCAGTCTGGCCAACATAGTGAAACCCCGTCTCTACTAAAAATACAAAAAAATTAGCCAGGCGTAGTGGTATACACCTGTAATCCCAGCTACTTGGGGGGCTGAGGCAGGAGAACCTGGGAGGCGGAGGTGGCAGTGAGCAGAGATCGTGCCACTGCACCACTCCAGGCTGGGCTACAGAATAAGACTCAGTCTCAAAAAAAAAAAAAAAAAAAAAAAAAAAGACATGAACAGAAGAGAACATTGCTATACTATGATAGAAGAAAATCTGAATGTTCATTAACAGGTGAATAGATGAATAAATTATAATATATCCATAATGTGATATACTACAGGGTACTTTAAATGAATCGACTATATTTATACATATCAACAAAGATAAATATTAAAGAATGTAAGATCATGGCAAAAAGCAAGTTGCAGAAAAATATGTATAGGACATAGCACTTATATAAAGCCTAAAGCATACAAAATAATAATGTTCCTACTCTATAAAGACAAATATAGGAGGTAAATATATACAACCATGAATGGTTTTGAAAAAATGCAAAATTAAGCATATTTCATAACTTTTCCGATGGGTCATGGAATGCAAGATGAGCATGAGGGGCTTCAACCCCACCTATATATTTTGTAACACTTACAAATTAGTTTTTGATAACATAATGATAAAGTGGCTGAATTTTAACAGAGACAGTGTCTACATAGGTGTTTGTTGTAATATTCCTTCTACAATTAAGATTAATTGGGATCAAACATCCCCAGGTTTCTAGCCAGTACCAATAATTACTAAGTTTTGAGTCATTTTTTTAGTCTTTCTTCCGCAGGTAATTCTGATTTTCATTAAAAATAAGGAAGGCATGGTTTGTGCTTAAGCTGAGACAGGTTTAAGCGACATTATTTTTCAATCCAATTAGGTACCCTGATTCCATTTATTCAGAAGGAGATTTACATCTATATATGCTACTTGGAAATATGACTGCCATTTTCTAATTAAGAAGACGTTTTATCTTGACTTGCCTATTTCACCTATAGATGAATGCTTGATTTAACATTTACACAATTAATTGGGTGGGTTTTCTCGCTACTACATTCTCATGAACCTTTGCAGCTTCTCAACTATATCCAAACCTATTACCTTTTAAGAACCTAAATATTTTCCCAGTATAAATAGTTTTCCATCGTATGAGCTTTAAATAATATTTTAACATAAAATATACAGTTTACACAGGGATATCTAAAGGGATGTCTATACACATCCTAATGTGAATGTTTTTATAAAGTGAAGTATCTTTTTGTTGTGGGAATTAATCTTTGTAAATATAAATTATCTCTCTATTATCTTTCTAAAACTTTTCAATTCCTTAAATTCAGGTGACTGTTAACTCATTTTATCAGCAGAATATTTTTCAGCGTTATTTATTATCTATAAAAAATATTTGCTTAAGGTTTAGTATTTTGGGAAAATTATATAACAGCTATCAAATGAGGGTCTTCTGTAAGTGCTTAAAAAATAAATAATCTAATGTTATAAATAGATCTATAAAGAGCTTATAAAATTAAAGAACAATTACTAACATTCTAACTAGTCTAACATTTTATGCCAAGCAATCAGAACTTATACCTATTTAAGATATTCAGAGTATACTTTATGCTTTATTATTCAACAGTATAAATAATATTTCAGAATATTTTAGAATACTGAGTATATTGTATATGAATATAGCATCAAATTTAGTTTCATGGGAAACAATCTTTAGCTATAATTATATAGTACTGGTGCAATACATAATTTGTTTTAGTGTGACAGACCCCCAGGTCTTCAGTAAGCTCCAAACTGCCAGGGAAAACAGATAAGTAAGAAACTAGACAGAGATGCTCAATTTTTAAAATGAAGAACTTGATCTAAATATTTAGAGTGTTTCCCATTAAAAAAACAGAAATTGATTATATACATATATATATTTGGGTATAAATGAGCAGGGAGTTTATGTCACTGAATTTATATATATAATATATAATCTTATATATAATATATTAATATATACATATATTATATGTATATAGCCTATATATATCTTATATATAATATATAGCTTATATATATCTTATTTATATAATATATCTTATATAATATATAATTATATATAATTGTGTCAGTTCTCCCGATTGTTTCACATGGAATTTACATCTTTGCAACCCTGAAACCCTGTTTCAGTCCTTTCTTTTTCATTAAATGTTCCAAAATCTCTTTCCCATAGTTGCTACATAATTTCTTAAATAGCTTAGAAGCTTTGAAGGAGAAAGGAGCTAGATGAATAGATTAATGAGGGGCTGTTTGTGAAATTCTTAGAGTTCCGTCAGTGGCAGGTGTGATGAATGACAACACATTGTTAGTATGATGATCATGCAGCAAACCATTATTAGTGCTTAAGGAAGACTATCTCATTATACAAACACTACTTGAGTTTGAACATATTTTAGCAGAAAATGTAAACTGTTCACACAATTCCAACCAAATAGGCATTTCTCTGGTTGAAATTAGGCTTGGAAGTATTGGCCATGTTTACTATTAAATGATTCAGTTATATTTTACTAGTGTACAGAAAAACCAAAGTCTCATAAACACTGAAAATTAACTCTTACACATTTCTTTGCATAATTACCTATTTTTCTTGAAATTTTTATGTATGACACGTTCCTTAAATAACACCTCTGCTGTAATAACATAATTTAACAAGTTTAAGAGCAGATAAATGACACAGTAAGATATTCAGAAGTTTTATAAAAAATAAATCATGTGAATAAACAATTGTGTTTGGTATAAATGGTATATTGTCAGTGTCCTTTTATGAATTAAAATGGCTTTATTCCAGCCTGGGCAACATGGCAAAACCCTAACCCTACAAATAATATAAAAATTAGCTGGATGTGGTGGCACATGCCTGTAGTCCCAGCTACTTGGGGCTGAGGTGGGAGAATCACCTGAGCCTGGGAAGTCAAAGCTGCAGTGAGCCGTGATTGTGCCACTGCACTCTAGCCTGGGTGACAGAGTAAG